AAAAACAAGTGCATCAGAACCATGAATGTTCTAAAAGTGCTGTCACGCACTACGTGGGGGAGTGACAAGAAGTGTCTCATGAATTTGTACAGGAGCCTCGTACGCACTCGCTTGGATTATGGAGCAATAACCTATCAGTCTGCGACACCTACCGCCCTTAAAATGCTTGACCCTATTCACCACCCAGGCATCCGCTTCTCTACGGGTGCCTTTCGCACTAGCCCCGTTGAAAGCCTGTACGTGGAATCAAATTAATGGTCACTGCACCTACAGAGATGTTATATGTCTTTTCTATATTATCTCAAAGCAAAGGCAGACAAGGACCACCCTTCACACTTCACAATTGATGACATGTCTACTTCTGTTTTGTTTGAAAACCGGTCATCTTTGAGACAGCCCTATTCACTTCGTGTGAGGGGCCTTTCTGAGGAAACCGGTGTGTCCCTCGAATATCGTTTGATGGCTCCCACAGCATGTCTGCCACCATGGCGGTGGCAATTGATAGATTGTGATGTGTCCTTTTTAGAGATTACAAAGCACGCACCCATTGTACATATCCGCACATACTTCCTAGAACTACAACAAAAGTACACATGCCCTGAGTTCTTTACAGATGCCTCAAAGTCCAACAGTTCTGTTTCATACGCAGCCATTGCCCCATCCTTCTCAGATACTGCCGTCCTGCATCCGGATGCAAGCATTTTCACAGGAAAAGCCTACGCAATACTTGCAGCTGTTAAACACATTGCACATATAAAACTACAAAAAGCGGTAATTTACACGGATTCTCTAAATGTGGTGAAAGCCTTGAAAACACTTACAAAACACAAAAACCCAGTTCTCGAGTCCCTTTATTCACTCTTATGCACAGTCTACTCATCCGAACAGCATGTTGTAGTCTGCTGGGTGCCGGGGCACCGTGAGATTCAGGGAAACGTTTTGGCAGATCAGCTGGCTGCATCCGCCAGCAGCGATGCCGCTAATGCATCAATACCAATCCCTGTACTTGACATGAAACCTTTCCTGAAACGAAAATTCAAAGGTTATTGGCAAAACTTGTGGGATAGACACACAAGTAATAAACTACATGTTATTAAGCCACAACTTGGTCATTGGCCGCCCCTATCAAAATCGCCACATACAGAAGTGACACCCACAAGGCTAAGAACAGGGCATACATACTCTATGCATTCATATATTCTGTCTGCCAGTGATCCACCATTGTGTGCGAGATGTGGAAAACCACTTACGGTTTTCCACATCCTCGTGAAGTGTAATGAGTTGGACGCACTAAGGAAAAAGCACTTTTTACTGCCCTACCGACAGCAGCTCCCACTACACCCTGGGATGCTTATCGGTAGGGATCAGATTTTTAAAATTCACTCATTGTTTACATTTTTAAATGATGTACTCAGTTTTCACTGCATATTTCAAGGTGATATGTAGCAGTACCTGTGGTGACTACATCTCCACGATAGTCTTATTATCATGACCTTTAGACATTCATTTTCACTGCACATATTTCACGCCACTGTCATAATTTTAATACTTAAGTTTTTACCCCCATTAGCGCGAGGAATTTTAAGGCCCCTTTTCAGCCACTCATCATTTACAATATCATTGTTCATATCTCTAGTTTATCGAAATGGCACTCTTTGGCCATCAATTGGCCCTTGCGCCATAAAGTGCCACACATCATCATCATCATCATTTTTTAGAGGCCATCGGCCACGAAAGAACGCGCCAACTTCTGCCATTCTTCCTCGACAGCAGCCCACAAGTTGTCGGAAGGACACTAATTCTAATACATTGTTTAAGAGAGAGAGAGAGAGAATGAGAAAGGAAAGGCCGGGAGGTTAACCAGATATTGGCATCTGGTTTGCTACCCAGCGCTGGGGGCGGGGAAATAGGGGCAAGAGAGAGGGGGTAGATAGAGAAAAAAAACGCACGCACACTCATAAGAAAACAAAAATACACACAGGAAGGGCGTCCTAGCTACAACCGTTCAGTAAGGCCAGTCGATCGCAAAAAGTGTAGTAGCGCTTTCAGGGCCCTCTTCTGTGAAGTCGCATCCTGTCGATACTGCAGAATTCCCTGCTCCGACAGAGGTTGATCATCTAATTTGTTGAGTTCTTTGCGAAGGCATAGTCGTTGTTTACTATACGCTAGGCAGTCACAAAGAATATGTTGGATGGTTTCCTCTTTGCCACAGTGGCCACAGGCTGCGGTGTCGGCCATCCCAATAAGGAAAGCGCAGGCATTGGTAAACGCAATGCCCAACCACAGCCTACATAACAGGGTCTGGTCTGCTCGGCAAAGCCTCGACGGGACTTGAAGACAGCGTAGGGTCAAGCGAGTACAGTCAGGCATGCTTGAAGTGTGGCTGATTCCATTGCGATGTGGTTTGCTAGCGAGCAAGCCTGTGGAGTTTTCGTGCAGCATCTGTCCTAGAAAGTGGTAGTCGTAGTTTACGATCTTCTGTGTATCCCGGCTGCGGCGGCTGCATTTCCGATGGAGGCGGAAATGTTGTAGGCCCGTGTGCTCAGATTTGGGCGCACGTTAAAGAACCCCAGGTGGTCGAAATTTCCGGAGCCCTCCACTACGGCGTCTCTCATAATCATATGGTGGTTTTGGGACGTTAAACCCCACATATCAATCAATACGATCTTCTGTGTGGGCTGAGCGGGCAGCTTGATCCGCCCGTTCATTGCCGATGATTCCGCAGTGACTGGGCAACCACTGAAATGTAATTTGGTGCCCTTTCTCAGTCAGGTGGTGTATAACCTCTGCTATCTCTAGTTTAAACATTGTTTAAATGTTACACGAAAACAGGCCCGTGGCAGCTTTTTTTTTCTGTGTGTGGGGACAAAAACCACACCCAGAACTGACAAAAGAGGAAAGAGTGATACTGAGACGCCTGCAAAGCAGCACATACACACATGGGGCACTCATGCACTGTCTCTACCCAACGAGATATAGCTCTATGTGCCCGCTCTGCAGCGTACCGGACATCCTGTCACTCTTGCTTCTTGCATGCCAGTGTATTGCCAGACGTAATCTGCAACAACACACAGCTGATAATGAAGCAGGACAGACGAACAAAGACCTAACCGAAACGTGGGAGGCGGAGCTCGCCCTCCAGGACCTGTAAGACCAACAACTCGTCGCCAGGGCCAAGAGGGCAGTAGAAGCCGGGGGGGTTCCTGGACTGAGGAGCCCTTCTACCTCAGGGTGACACCAGGCATTGCTCGGGGCACTGTTTCAAAAGTAAACGTTTACTTTTCTCTCTGACAAAAACCACGAAATAAGCTCACTACACTTTTGTGCACATGTTTATTTTTATCATGTCAGCAAACGCATGTAAGGCGCAATCTTTTAGCCGAATCGTGTTTCTTACTTACTGAGCATGTGTGCTGCATCACCGAAAAGCGCAAAACAAGAGTGTCATCTACTCGCAGTGTGTACCGGCAAGCCATTTCGGTCAGCATGTGAAACCGTGCTACCTTAGCAACACCATGATGGCAGTGTGCACATGGTTAACTACAGGCCGACTCATTGGCGACCGGAAGCAGCAATCCTGCTTCTCAGATGTTCTCCCCCTTGCTCTATACCACAATGCAACACCTTAGTTCTACGAGCTGCGCAATCTGTGCCGGTGGCCACGCATTCCGAGTGTCCAATTTCAATCCATGAGTACTGTACTCATTGTTGTGGTTCTTTTTACACAAGCAGTGCTCATCTTTAAAGAAATTGGCCGCAGGAGAGGAGGGGAAAGGGGGGCACTTGCTCGGAAGAAGTAGTATTTCGTTATTCGATTCTATCGCGAGGGCGGACATTAGGTAACAAATATCCGGCTGCAAAACAGCTCACGTTACATTTGAGTAAATACTGTAATGTGACGTGCTTGCTTGTAGATTCAAACAAGTGAAAACTGCTATTGTCTGTTAAGCTGAAATTCAGACTGTCAGGGTGTGTTGACTGGGATTTCTGCCTGCGAATGATTTTTTCAGAAGATAACTTATGCAGAAGTATACATTAAGGGAGAAGTTTCTCAGAAGGTAGAGTTGGCACGCACCTAATGGGGCACCAGGCTACAATTATAACCTATTGAGGTTAGGTACTTAAAAAGAAAGCTTTGGACTAAAAAATGCTTTTTTATTTCTGAAAAAATAAACCTCATATCACTAGTTTTTTAGTGCATTTGCTTTGCTGACTAAGCCAACTGGCACACTTGTACTAGATAGCAGCATGAGAGTGAACTAATCACTAGCTTGCACCACACATGTGCAGGATAAGCAGATAGTTGCTGTCAAAATATATAAGGTTGAGAACTTTGGAAGTGTCGGTAAAATTGTCTCCAGGTGTGAAGCTTGCATTGTGGCAACGCCTCATAAAAAAACTAAGCCTGCAACACGAGCCGCAAATGTACTGCTTTACCCTCAGATTTTTCTCTCCCACTCTGGTACTTAAAAGTACTTTGAAATATACTTTACTTAACTTGTTCTAGTGTCCCTGAAACAAGTTTTTTAACATGGCAGATCTTTAGTGGTAAACAGAGGCTTGCAGTGATGAGAAATCATTGAACTGTGAACATCGCTGCAGCCAAATTTTTGACAGAAGATTTGTCTTGTAAGGGGTAAGCAAGTTGTCTTGTCAAAACGTTGGCTGCAATGACAACCTCTGTATGGCAATATTTTTAAATGTAGAACTTTATCGGCAGGAATGGTAGGTGGGCTGTTAGGGTTTTTATTCCAGGTTCACTGAAACTTCGTTCATCACCAATTTAAAAGGCAACAGAATAAGGTTGGCCTTGGTGTCAGGTGGCTGGTGTTTATCTTCATGAAAGCTGTTTTAGAAAGAGCGTGGATTTCAAGCACGGTTGAGCTTGAGCTAGTGCTGCCTGATTTTGCCTGAAAAGATGAACAGGAATAAGAATTCAAATGCCAGCTTCTGAGATTGTGTGCTGTTGTGTCAACATTATTTCTTTTTCCAATAATCAGTGTACCACAGGAACACATCCTTCCCTTTGGAATGAAAGAAAACTTTTGGGAGATGGGCAGCATTGGACCATGTGGGCCCTGTACAGAAATTCACATTGACCTTGCCGAGTCTAGCTGTCCCTTATCATCTCCTGTGCACCGAGTCAATGCTGGACACAGTGACTTGGTGGAACTCTGGAACCTTGTATTTATGGAATTCAATAGGTGAGTGTATTGCTACATTTTTTTTCCCTCCTGTGGTAGTCTAGTACATTAAATCTTTAATTAGACCCTTGTTAATTCAGGAAACCTAATTATTTGAAAACCTGAATAGCTTGCACATGTTCCCTGGTTTCGACCAGCATATGCATTCCTTAATGCAACCAACCTCACATTAATTTGGTCACATTTTAGTGCTACTTAATCTGCGTGACCTACTGTGTGCGCCAAATGCAAAGCACCGGAACTGTGCAACGCAAAGCAGCCAAAATGGCAGTGGCAAACAACCAAAGTTAGGTGGCTCTGTCCAAATTGCTATCTTCATCAGTTAGTGACCCTGGTTTGGTCCACGTGCCGATATAGCACTTGATGCAGTAAGCACACTATGTTGCCAAAATCAAACACGGCGGAAGTTGCCAGCAGTTTTACATGCAAAAAAACTATATCCACCTTCGCATGGTAGCGGTGGCAGCACATTACAAGAAAGGGGTGGAGAGTATGTTTTGGGCTAATTAAACATAAATGCCTGGCACTGTGGTCGCATTGAGAATGAGGCCGTAGGTTAGAGGAAATCACAGCTTAAACAGAACTCTTACGCAAAATAAGTGCAGGATTTACGTATTTATAAGGAAAACGAAAGTGTATTGATATGACATAAATTTTTTTTATGTTTTCGACAATTCAGCACTCGGATAATATTGAATGTTTTTCCAGTCCCGGGGGTGAAATCTTAATTAATGAGCTTTTACTGTATTTGCATTACTTTCTGAGATATACATAGTAAGCTTTTCATGTGTAGCAGCTATGCTTTTTTTATGTAGTGTTGGATGCTGATCTTGAGAATACAGATATAAATATAACAGTTTCGTTTCCCAGGGGCGCTGATGGCCAGTTGCACTCGTTACCAAAAAAACATGTGGACACAGGAATGGGACTTGAACGGCTTGCTGCAGTTCTTCAGAACGTCAAATCAAACTATGACACGGACCTGTTTTCACCTCTCATTACAGCATTGCAAAAGGTAGTGCTTTCATACTAAGTTTCCCAGCTTGGGCTTTCTGATTTAGAGACTTATGAATGCTATATCTTTTGTTCTCCATTTATAAATTGTGGCTTTAGCTATTCTATAAATTATATTATGAGACGGACAAACCTCATTACTTGCCAAGCTGTAATTGGCAAAATGTTTACGAAATCAACCGCAGGATTTTGTACAGCCTGTGTGCATGATTTTCTGAGCAATCTTGTGCTTTTTTTGACCTGATGCATGCCATCTTGTCATTGCTACCTTGTGGATTGCTTTGTTTACAGCTCTCGCACCTTCTTTTATATTCGTTCAATCATCTTTGCAAGTTTTATGAATTCAGAATGTTGCAAATGAGTTCTGTGGAAACCAGCTATGGGTGGGGGAGCAGTTATATGAAACGAAAAGCTGACTACTACCTGTTTGTAGTACTAGGCTGCAAGGAAATCTATATAGATTTATACCTGCCAAGTCTCCCGGATTTTGATCAGTTCTTAAGTTTGTACGATTGTCAGGAAAATCTCCCAGAAATTGAAATTTCTGTGCGTGATCTGGCCACATTCAGAAATATGCAGCCTAATCTGATCCAGGCTTTTTGCGAACCCATTGCATTTCATTGTAGACAAATTTAGGAGGTGTTCATCTAAATGTACAGCAAAATCTCAGCGATCTGAAACCAGCAGATAGGAATTCGTGAAATTGCACTGCTGAAATTCGACTGTATCCATAGGGCTGAAGTTCAGATCTTCCGAACACTTTTCCTCATCGCGGCCGGTTGTATGAACTTTTGTGCTTTTTTTTGTGCTGAAACTGCTGAATGAAAGTTGAGAGGAGCGTGCTCAATGCTTCGGAAGTATGCGCACGGCGAGCACACACACTGTCTTGACAGTGCATGTGGTTATCATTTGTCACAACCACTGTGGACCAAACCACACTCGCTCTTGACATGATCACAAATGGCGACGACGTAACTCCGTAACTGACAGAATTTCGAAAGTGCACGCTGCAGTGTCGCGGCCTGGGGCCAAGAAGAAGGAAGCGGGCAAGCTTCTACAACACAACAAAACAAATGACATTTATTTCAGAACACCCATATATATATATATATATATATATATATATATATATATATATATATATATATATATATATATATATATGACAACAACAGCACATCTAATGTTGATAGACTACCGGAACTAGCGACAGAACATATTCCCCCTCTTAAAACCTTCAGTGTTAGTATTCTGTTAGTGTGTTAAAAGAAACAAATGCCAAAACTAAAATAATACTTCATATACAAAACTAATCTCTAATGAAAAAAAAGAAACAAAGTGCACTAGAGAAACTATCGCACATAGTCGTCGTAACGTTTTGGAGGGCATCTTGACCTTGGTGGTTTGACATGTACTGGAGCCACACACAGTTGTGGTTCAGGGAGGCCCGGGTCTGAAGTAGCTTGGTTGGTTGCCCCAGCAGGAATAGGCACACCTGCTTGTGGTTCAGGCGTGCCATTATCGTAAGCCACATGGATGGTCAAAGGAACAGGCATAGCTGCAGCCCCCACACGAAGTGCCTCACAAGTAGCTGGTAGGTCTAGTTTTCCCAGTGACAGTGATACAAATGTGCAAGCCCCTGGCACGTTCCAGGTCTCCTGTGAACGCAAGGTATCGAATATGAAGGAACTTTGGCCAGCTTAGATGCATTCCATGTCTGGCCATCATCGAGGCAGAAAGAAGAAGGTCCTCGTTGTTTGACCATTTGACAGGGACTTCCAAACGAAAGGTCTCCCTTGAAAGTGACAGAACGTTTCTTCACCCGATTTAAGTCTCCAACAGCGATGTTCGTCTTTGTGGCTTGACGAAGATCTGTTTGCTTAATGCTGCTGTCTTACTTTTGCTTTGCCCTGCGATGCAGCTAACTGAGCTCAGTGGCTGCCTCTTTAAAAAAAGAAGAGAACGGGTACGCGACCACGTCTAGATGTGTTCTCGGCAGCCTCCTATGCAGGAAAAAGAGCTGGGGTGACCCTTATTGTTGCTTGCGGTGTGTACCGGTAGATGGCAAGGTACTCGATGGCCACTGGGCGGAGTGACCAATGTTCCAGGAAAGACGTCTGTAGGAAGTTCTTGAACACAGGGTTGAAGCATTTTAAAAGTTCATTGACCTGAGAGTAGTACAACGAAGAGCGACAGAAGCGAATGGCATGATTCTTCAGGAACTGTTCTCAGGAAAAGAAATGGGGGTTGTTGTCACACACAACTTCATTGGGGTAGCCCTCTCGAGAAAATACTGACAGCAGAAAGCTTGTCACTGTCTGCGTCGACACCTTGCTGCAGAACTGTACTTCCGTACTTGGCTGCTGACCTGCAGGTCGTGGGATCGAATCCCGGCTGCGATGGCTGCATTTTCGATGGAGGCAAAAATGCTGTAGGCCTGTGTGCTCAGATTCGGCTGCACATTGAAACTCCAAGTGGTCGAAATTTCCGGAGCCCTCCACTACGGCGTCTCTCATAATCATATGGTGGTTTTGGGACTTTAAACCCCACATATTGAACTGTACTTCCGGCCACTTCGAGAAGTAGTCTACGAAAGTGATGGCGAACTGGCAACCGTGTAGCGTTCTTTCCATGGAACCGATGATATCGTTGTAGACCTTTTGCCATGGCCGCTCTGAAAGGTGAACAGTGTGCAGCGGAGTCTTGGCACTTTTGTCTGCATTGTGGCAAACTACACAATTATGGATTGCAAGCTCCACTTGTCTGTTCATTTTAGGCCACCAAAATTGCTCTCTCAGTCATGCCTTGGTGTGAACTATCCCAGGGGTGCAGTGGGAATAACCTGTGGCATAATGGATGGTGGTGCTACAAGGAATTTGCCACGCAAAAGCAAGTCGTCGACCAGAGAGTTCTGCACTCACAGCAAAAAATGGCTGTAGTTCACCTGAGACGAGCTTGTGGGTAGGCCAAGCTGATGAGACGTAAGCCTTTACTTGTTCCAAGGTAGCATCCTCATGCAGGGACTGCTGGAACTGCTCTATAGTGAAGCAGAGTGGGGCAATGAGAGACATCACCTTTTCGTTGACCGAGGCATCTTCCTGCGAAACAGGCATTGGAAGGGGGGACAGCGCATCCACAACTTGATTTTTGGAGGCTTTGCGTTATTCCACCATCAAATTATAGCGCATCAAACATTCTGATCAGCGCCCAATGCGAAGAGGACATCTTCCCATACCTTGAAATGACAAAAGGGAAACCAAGGCTTGGTGGTCTGTATGAAGTGTGAAGCGCGGTCTCCAGAGTGTGTGTGCCAGCGCTCGTAGGCCCAGATAGGCAAGTGCTTCCCGTTCACCAGCTGCATACTTCCTCTCTGCTGAGGATAAAGTAACTGTGTGTAGCTGGTGTCCATCCACTTGTTGAAGAACAGCCCCAAGGCCGCAGTCTGATGCATTCATGCAGACAACTACCGGAAGAGTGGAATCAAACATCTGCAGTACTCTGCTTGATGACAGCGAGAACTTGACCTTTCAGAAGCTAGAGTCTACGGCATCACTCCATGTGAAGACTTGATTCTTGCAGAGCAGAGCACACATTGGATCCACAATTTCAGCTAGTCAGCAAGGCAGGGAACAAACTTGGCGTAGTACTTGAATAAGCCAAGAAACGAATGTAGACTATCAGCTTCAGTAGGAGCAGGAGTGTGCAGTATTGATTACACTTTTTCAGGCAGTGGTGAAATGCCTCGGGCTGTGACTCTGTGTCCCAAGAAGGACAATTCTTTGACATAAACGGTGCACTTGTGGTTGAGCTTGAGCCCAGCGGCCTTGATGCAATGGAGAACTGCGGCTAAATTCATCAAGTGCTTTTCATTGGTGCAGCCGAACACAATAATATTGTCACTGTAAAATAAAAGGCCAGAACATCCCTTCAAAATCTGCGACATCAGCTGCTGAAAGGCTACAGGGGCAGACGTGAGCCCAAGGCATACATGCTTCAAACTAAACAGGCCGTCGTGAGTGATGAATGCAGTCAAGTCTCGGCTCTCGCGGTGCAGCAGGACTTAGTGGTAGGTGGGCGCATGATCCAACTTATAGAAGATTGTTGCACCGATGCGGCTGTTCAAAAGCTCTTCTATGTGAGGAAGTGGAAAGGACAACTTTCTTAGGTTCCCGAAGATCAACACAGAGTCTAATGCCACAGTCCTTTTTCCTTACTACAATGTCGGGGGACACCCACTCAGAGGCAATAATGTGCTCGATGACATCTAGTTTCTCCAATCTACGGAGCTCTTCCGAAACTTGAGGTCGGAGTGTCGGTGGAAGACACTGAAACTTCGATATCACAGGAAGCATCTCAAGTCGAGTCTTGATGCAATGAACGAAGCCCTTGACAAACCTAAGGCCTGGGCCGAAGACAAGCCGAACTCGCCGGACAGGATCTTCGGAAGGTGGTCGGCTGGCAAACCTTGACACAAGCCTGAGAGCTGAGCAGTGTCGAGTGTCGCTGGCATGGCCGACGTCTCGAAGCAATGCAAGGACGAACCTTCATTGTGCAGGTTCAAAACTATGATCCCATTCATTTCGAGGATGGATGTACCTTGCGCTACAATGTAGAACAGGAGATAGGCTGAGCGTCTTTTGAATATGACATCCGTGAAAAAACAACCACGTACAGGAATGTAGCGCTTAGAGTAATCGAGAAGCTTCACTCGTGGAGTGCAAAGACGCGGCTCATTATCAAAATTTTGCTTGAAAATGCTCTCTTCCAGGATGGAAACAGACGATCCCGAGTCAACAAGAAATTTCAAGAACTTGCTGGTGATGAAAATGTTGATGTATTAAATGTTGAGTATGAAAATGTTGAGTGTAATAATATAAGCTTTGGCAGTTTTATAAATAAGCATGCTGAGAAAGTAATGCGGAGTTTTCACTGCTGTGTTGTAGGTCCTTTTTAGAAATAAAAGCCTGCAAACTAGACAAAAACAGGTATATTAGGTCAAATTAAAGAATTTTTATATAAAAATGTACGTTACACAGAGAATCGAAATATATTTAATTGTACGTGCAAGTACACATCTATTTAGCTAAACAAATGTGAGCTACATAGCTGTAAGATATTTTGTGTAATTCATCTCCATACTCGAAAAAAAAAACGGAGCAGGTAAGCGTGGCACTCCACCTTTTCGTCATTATTGATTTACTGTGCTACGAAAAAATTTTTCCAGAAAAATCAATTGCGGATCTCTTCTTTCCACTGATCAGGCAAAAATATATAAAATTTTGAAAAAAAAAAATTCAAGAGGTCGATAAGCCATGCTTTATTCAACCTTACGTGGAATCACCCGCTACTACTAGCCGATAGATAGATAGATATGTGGGGTTTAACGTCCCAAAACCACTGATGATTATGAGAGACGCCGTAGTGGAGGGCTCCGGAAATTTCGACTACCTGGGGTTCTTTAACGAGCACCCAAATCTGAGTACACGGGCCTACAACATTTCCGCCTCCATCGGAAATGCAGCCGCCGCAACCGGGATTCGAACCCGCGCCCTGCGGGTCAGCAGCCGAGTACCTTAGCCACTAGACCACCGCGGCGGGGCACTACTAGCCGAGGACACGCGGCTAACGCAGTGGCAAATTAAAGGCAATAAAGACGTAAAAAGAGCTAGAAGCGTTTTGGCATTTCTAGAGTCCAAAGAATCTGGTAATGTTCTTCCTGTCCATCTGCATACTTTGGCATTCAGTTATCAGTTGGCCTCAAGATCCGGCACGTGTAGCCCCACTTTCCTGGCAGCCAGCTGCGCCGTCCCGTACGTTCACATGTGTCCCAGGAAGACGTACGCGAGTTGCTTTGACAGAAATAGATTTTGCTAGTTGTTTTGATGATGTGAAATTTCGGGTGATACAAATATTTGCTCACCCTCTTAGAGACCCGCACCTTCTACTGTAGTTGGGAAACCCTACCCTCGTGAGTTCTGCCACTCCAGTCCTATATAAGACTGCAAGGCCGATGTTTATGACCCCCCCTCCCTCTTGTTTGTTTTCGCGATGTTCATTTTTGTTTCTTTTGTGCCAAAAAAAAGGGCATGGGGAATATAAATCGGCGCGATTTCTTCCCTCGTTGCGTAAATCGCCCGGATTCAGGATCCTTGAGCTTGGCAGGTATGCAGGTTTCTCAGGAAGAAAGCTTTATAGTTGCCAAAAAAAAATTAGGCTTGTACGAATATTCGAATGCTTCAAATATTCGAACGAATAGTTTAGTAGTCGAATTCGCTTCGATTTGAATTTAAATTATCGAATATTTTCGAAGTATTTGCAATGAACGAATAAGTGTATATTAGCCGCATTTCATTGCCTGTAAAGATTATTTCACTACAATGCGAAAATGCTAAGCCGTGAAAGCACATATCTAGGGGAAATGCGCTTTGCCGCGAAGCCCTCTTTCAAATTTAAAGGGGCCCTGCAACATTTACTGAACATTGTCAGAAAACGCTGCCGATCAGTAGTTGAGGCTACCGAGATCACGCGAGGCTAATGTTACAGCGCAGCACGTGGCCTGTAATTCACAATAAATTTTGAAAGCTAAAAATTGCTTTCTTGCTTCGGCAAATGACACTACAAGCTCAAAAATCACTTGTCACAGCCAAGAAGGAATATACGGCTCTGGTCACAGCCATTGGCTGATTTGAGCATTGCGCGCTCATCGTTACCGGGGCCGCCGCTTGTCCACGAGAATGTGCGCAATTGCACTGAAAATCCGCGTATTCGAAGGAAAAAAAAGAGGTGCTCAATTCACAAGGTGCATGTGGCGTATTTTCTTTCGCCATGCCTTTCCTATCTGCTTAACTTCCAGTTATTTCGTCAAGACAAGAAGAGAGGACGCAATTGCAGCGTGCGTCAAATTTTTGGAACTCTGCTCGTACTGAACTGATTCTAGAAACTTAGCGGCGGTAAATTTGTGAAGCAAAAAGCGTGTTTACTGGCTCCATGGCTACTCGAAAAAGTGTTGCAAGGACCTTTTAAAGCAACATGTTGCCCTCAAATCAATTCTTCATTTTATTAAGTTATGACGGCTTATATGCTCCAACTATTATAAATTTTTAGACGTTAAGTATCCTAGAGATTATCACTCGCATTCTACCGAAACTACTACTCAAGGTTGTTTTGACTTCCTTTGAACGAAAAGAAAATGGCATTTGCATAGAGCCCCTATTTCAATTCAAAAGAATTATTGTGCAGGTTAGTTAGGTTATTAAATATTCCATTTTTTATATGTCATACATACCATTCGTATTCGATTTGAAATTATTCGATCAAAATCACTATTTGCTTTGAATTCGCTTCGAACTGAAAATTCACTATTCGCACAAGCCTACAAAAAATTCATTTATGTTTGAGGATCAAGCCCAGAACTAACACCTTTCTGGGGCAGTCACTTTACTATTTGAGCTGACCAGGAAGCTAGCTTTTGACAACATGAGGTTGAGTTAAGCAAGAACTCAAAGCGCATCAACAATACTGCAAAACAGTTCTGTGGAAACTTGCTAGGTGGTGGAATGGTTATAAAAGAGGAAACTGACAGACATGCTTTGAGTTTTCATATAATTCAGTCTTGGGTTGCCTGTTGTTAGCCTTCTGGTCAACTCAATTGGTAGATTGACCACCTCAAAAAGGCTTTGGTCCCGTATTCGATCTCCAGGACAGGATAAATTATTTGGCAACTAGGATGCTTTGTCTCTGAAAAATTTATATGGATTCTTTCGTAGCCTTGTGCTATGAATGAGTATTTGTTAGCTTTCCCTTTCATACTTCATGCATTTCATTTAACGCTGCTTGGTCTATTGTCAGGGACCTCCCGCCTATCCAACACGACTGCAGCGTCTTGTGGTCACGCACTGCTCAACAAGTTCTTTCAGGGTTGATTCACACGCATTTCCTCATTGCATTGTTTGTCATCTATCTCTAAAGAGTTAGTAAATTTTTTACTTGAGCTTTGATTTCTTGAGTTTTGCCCCAGACTGGACGGAAGGTGGATAAGGGTTTCAGACCGCAAGCGGATCGTGCCCCATAATCCTAAAAACCATCTTGCTTGCCTGGTGATGTTAACTGTGTGCCATCTGGTAGATTAAAGCAGTTAATATTAACACATTTTTCTGAGATTTTTCTTTTTTTTTTTTTCAGAAAGCAAGAGTGAATCCTTACAGTGGACTGGTGGGCAGTGACTGTTTTGTAGACACTGCCTATCGCACTGCTGTGGATCATGCCAGAATGTTCACAGTGGCTATTTCAGATGGTGTACTTCCAGAACATGCAGATGCTGGGTGAGATGAATAGCTGAATTCTTCAATTTAGGAGGCCTACAGATTAGCATCAAGCTGTATATGCGAATTTATTAATTTGGGCTCTCGCTTGTCTTGTTCTTTTGTGTTTGATGAAAGCATTTGGCATTCAAATTTTTTCATGTGAATAGGGTTAAAATGTTCCCGTGCAGGGGCTTACATATTATATCTTACCAGTGCATCAAAATCACAAGTCGGCCGCGCCGCGGTGGTCTAGTGGCTAAGGTACTCGGCTGCTGACCCGCAGGTCACGGGATCGAATCCCGGCTGCAACGACTGCATTTCCGATAAAGGCGGAAATATTGTAGGCCCATGTGCTCAGATTTGGGTGCACGATAAAAAACCCCAGGTGGCCGAAATTTCCAGAGCCCTCCACTACGGCGTCTCTCATAATCATATGGTGGTTTTGGGACGTTAAACCCCACATATCAACAATCAATCAAAAATCACAAATGGGTAGGGGTGTGGGAATATTTAAAATGTCGAATATTTTTTTAATAGTGTTTGCTATTCTATTCGACTCGTGCTGAAAATTTTTGCAATTTGAACTTCCTAAAGACAAATGCAGTCAATGTCTGACTGAAAGTGACCACTTCAGATCTTTAATATACTCCATCTCATCACATTCTCGTATTGCGTCAAAGCTGCCTTTCAGGCTTTGCTACGGTCGCAAATTTATTGACTCGATAAAACGCTGCTTCCTACGGGGAGATGATAGATGTGGCAGAGGTGGGGCTCAACCAATGCTGTTTTGGACTTGACATATGGGCAGGAAGTCTGAAAAATTAAACGCCGAGGACTTTTAGCATCCGAAATTTGAAATGTTCTTGTATCGCCGTCTACAAGGCAGATTTGAAAGTCTTAACTCGATACATTGTCTGCCACCTCAGTTAGGCTTTGACAGAAGTTGAAAGGGGAGGTGAGTTAGAAGAAATAGCAATTCTCGCCTTCCACGTTTAAAGCAATGTCGGCAACACTTACGTTATACCAGATCATGTACTAATAGCCCAATACCATTCGGCCTCTTCATGGCTCATTCTTGCTAACACAACTACGAAATACCTTCTCACCAGTGCTTCATTGGCCTAGCGAAAAGAAACAGTGTTATGTTGCTATATCTCGTAAGAATAGGCTTACGAATCCTCTCTTTTTTTTTTTTTGAAATTTCGCTTCAAAGTATTAAAAAAATTTTAGAAATATTAGAAAAATATTTGATTCGATTCACACTCGCACTTTAGTATTCGAATTCACTTTGCACCTAAAATATTGCTATTTACACAGCTCTACAAGTGAGTCATCTAGCAGTGTATGAAGTACGCTTTGTTTGAACTTGTTTAGGTTACACTAGAAGCTCCCTTGAACATATGTACTTCTGAACTACGCTTAGTATTTAAGTTTTACATTGTGGGTAAAGTTTAACTGCCAGGTTACCGTAAAATGCTGAGCAAGTGCCCCTCTCTCTTTTTCGGGAGGTCTGAATGAAATAAGCACCAATAACAAAGTGAGCCCCCCCCCCCCCCTCCTCCTCTCTGAAACCTCCGAAAACCGTCCTGGCAAGATATCCTGTGCTTCGTATCCTAGGCTTCGGAAGCCATTTAGACAGAAATGGTTACTCAATCGATCACCGGATCATTATCATCATCATCAGCCTGACTACGTCCACTGCAGGACAAAGGCCTCTCCCATGTTCTGCCAGTTAACCCGGTCCTGTGCTTGCTGCTGCCAATTTATACCCGCAAACTTCTTAATCTCGTCTGCCCACCTAACCTTCTGTCTCCCCCTAACCCGCTTGCCTTCTCTTGGAATCCAGTTAGTTACCCCTAACGACCAGCATTTATCCTGTCTACGCGCTACATGCCCGGCCCATGTCCATTTCTTCTTCTTGATTTCAGCTATGATATCCTTAACCCCCATTTGTTCCCTAATCCACTCTGCTCTCTTCTTGTCTTTTAAGGTTACGCCTACCATTTTTCTTTCCATTGCTCGCTGCGTCGTCCTCAATTTAAGCTGAACCCTCTTTGTAAGCCTCCAGGTTTCTGCTCCGTAGCTAAGTTTCTGCTCCGCCATCAGCAGCGATGGCGTAGTAGTTAGAGCATCCGCCTCGCATGCAAAAGGTCCGTGGTTCAAATCCCGGTTCCGCGCAGCTCCCAACCGGATAAAAAAAAAAAAAAAATCCGCGTGGTGATGGAACTGCATTACGAGGCCTGGGGTGCGGCCTCATCGGTAACCACCGCCGGGAACGCACTCCCTCACCAGAGAAGGATTGGCCACCCTGGTGCAGTATCTGGCCACTACCTCCCACATGCATACGATCACCGGATATGGCATATTTAATACTCTAGATGGTTTGAAGGATGGTGCGCTGCACGCCACTCTCTCCAATGCCAGCTATGTACCACCAGAAGACTTTTGTGTCCGACTCTAAGAAGTCATTTGAACTTTGACAGGGATGAAGGTTATAAAAACAATAAATAAATGAAGCATTTAATTAGAAACATAGATGGGCATTTTTTATTTTTAGTGGCTTTCCCGCTGCCATCTTGAACTTCAGCCTGAGACCGAGCAAGTGCCCCCCCCCACACACACACAATCTGGTCAGCTTATCCTTCACCGTAGGGAAGTGCGCTTGCTTGTCATTTCACGGTACCTAGTTTGTTTGCTTTGTGCAACTTCGTTTACAAAAAGCAGACTTTTCTGTAGTCCATATTAAAGGGAGAGAAAGTGAAAAGTAGAGGAAGGAGATTCATTAGCAAAACAATCCAGTTCACTAACCTGCCCCCTGGGAGAAATTTAACAGGAGGTTTAAGAGAGAGAAAATGGCAAAAAGATGTAGGAAGAAAATCGCATGCATAATTGAGGTACAACATACATTGCTGTCCTAGTCTGTCCGAAAGTGTGCAAACTCTTATGGTGCGCTATTCTCTTTATAGGGCCAGTGAACAGGCTCCAGATTTTTTACACCCCCAAACAAGCTTGCTGATGTGTGCAATAGACTGCGGCGATCACATTATGCATACAATACAGCTCTGCGCAAACCCTCCCATTTAGAAAAACAATTCCCATGCCTCTTTACTATGTTTCTCCAATTCTTCTTATACGCACAGTGACGAAATCTTGCCTATGGGAAACAGTTCGTGCCAGTGAGCCTGTCAATTGGTCATTTACTCTACAAAATGGTGCCTTGTCCTTGCGGTGATTCAATTATGGCCACGAAGTCTGGATTTTCATTTTCCTGTGGAGCCCTCTGCCATCTTGCAGAGCCCGAGACTACCAAGTCAAGTGGTATTGCCAGAACAGAAGTTTTCGAGGAAGAGGTGTCTCACTACTTTACCGCTAGGTGAAGGGTGCATACTTTACCAGTGCCTAATGCTCATCGCATCACACTCTCCACGCTGCTATGACATGTGTGCATGTGGGGGAAGCCTTTGTGCCGATGACATAATTACTGAAGTCGCGTTAGATTGGCGAAGTGGGCGTAGTCGGGACACAGGACTACACCTCCTCCTCACTGCTGCAAGACAATAGTGGGAAGGACGAGCAAGAAATCGAAACCAGCCAACGCACGTCAGGTCGTTCAATACCCTGTAACATCTTTAATACATCACTTATTTGTTAAGTTCTGGCGACAGCACGTTCAGCTTGCACAGGTGCGCAGTTATTTCTTCATCAGAATATTTGAACCGCGAGGTTGTTTCCTGGCCCTTTAACAACTTTTTTGCGTGAAATGTATGCACTTAAAGCAAAAGCACGTTTGCCTTGTGTGCTTTTCGAGAGAAACATGTTTTCATAATTTTTTCTGTCTCCCTTTACTCCCAGAAACAAGTTAAGAAGAATAATACGCAAGGCTTCTCACGCAGTAATCTGGCATTTGAAGTGTGACCGAGGCACTCTGGCACTTCTGGCCGAAGATGTCCAGCATCTTCTAGGTGATGTTTATCCTGGAATTAATATAGAGCTGGTAACTACAATAAATTACTCTTGTTGTATTTAATGTAGCTGTACTGTGGGCATTTTTCCAGCTATCTTTATTACCTTGGAATATAACACTGTAATAACTGGACTTGGCCGGCTCAGGCCGCATACAGTACATACGGCCTGCACTGAACATGGGCTTGCCATTGCAGCTCTTTTAGGCCGTATGAAAATTTGAGTTCAATGATACCTGTTGGTTTCCGGGGGTGCCAGGGCTGACAGGAGACGAGCCTCTACACAACAATGATGCGCTGCGCAGATCAGTGTGTACATATGCATCACTCTCGTATCACTAGGACAGCGTACTAGTGGTCACTCACTCCCAGTATACATTCCTCATTTCTTATCTTCATGAGCCTTGAATGATTCTGATCAGAGTTCTCATGTTGATCAAAATACCTCAGGTTTCGGTATTACTGTATTTGTAGAACTGAATGTTGGTCAGTCATTATTCTTGGTGAAATTTTCATGGCCACAAATGACACGGACAAAGTGAAGTAGGCACATGAGCGTTTAACTTAAATCCTTGTTTGTCTAAGTCATTGGGTCTGTGTCTTCGGCATACTGAAATTCACTGTGAAAGGTTATTGTGCCTTAGGTGAGCGATGGACAAACTAACATTTAAATAGAGGTGGCATGGTGACTATAAAAGGTAGCCCCACTTATAAACAGGGCAAAGGGCATTAGCCTCATGGAAACAGCTGCAAAAGACGTATTGGGAGAATAACAGGATGTTAAGAGTTTCAATAAGGCTACCTTGAGTTAGTATTTGTAGTGCCGTGGTGTTGAAAAGATATGATTCTATTTCAATGGTTGAAGAAATGCTGCTAAGCAATTTTCTTGACCAGTGGTTCTCAGCCACGGATGTGTCGGGAACCCCTTGTGGACTGGTGGAAGGGATGGGGGACTCCTTGCAGCGGAGCGGAGGAAGGGGGTGTACGTAGGTAAATTAACACAACTGGAGCGTGAAACAGGTGCTTTTTATTGCTACCAAAACGTCAAACAAATGTGCCATATCACTTTATTTTGGACAGTTCATCAATACGTGGCACAGTCCCGCTTAAAGAAAAATGCGGGTGAGGATTTTGGGGATCATAGAAATGGCTCTGCAGACTCTTCTTTGAGAACCATTGCCCTCGACAGTCATCTGTCACTCCAAGTATCTTTTGTATAATAGCCACAAGAAGAATCGATGAACAAATCTGTAAACTGGTTACATTTTTCAAGAGCAGAAGGCCCATCTAATGACAGAGTCGTGGCAATATTTTGTTGCTACATAAAAAAAAAAAGATTTTTGGCAGCAGCCACATTTGTTTGGTTGTAATTATTTCAATGCAAAAATAAAATGATGGAAATTTTAATTGTAATATTTCACAAAGTAAATGAAAAGTAAGATACGATGGTGGAAGATTCAACTTCTCATTGCATCATTCCTCTGCACGTTAAGTAGCTCGACCCTTCTGCTCATTTCTTTGTTTGGTTTTCTGGCATTATGTGGAACTCTATAAAAAAAATTAAGCCTGCTATGCTGGCCTTGCATTTGCTTTTTTAATGGAGTTAGAAGAAGCATGTGGCTAGGCAGCCACATAACAAGTCAGATGCAATTATCTTCTTTAACCCAAAATGTTTAATTAGGTGACTGGGATTACTGGAATATAAAACAATGGGATAAACAAGCTGAAAGCACACTTGACACTGTAAAAAATCCGTGTGAAATTTTTGGGCAGATTAAGGCGAGCTGCAACATGAAGTCTGTTCATCATAGAAGTGTTTGAACTTTCTTGTAGAAAGAGGAGAAGCGATTGATGGCTACGCATGCGGCGTCACCTCACGTATGATGATTGGTTGCCTGAGAGTTTTCGGAACCATTAGCAACATTGAAGGCACCCTGCTATTTGGGAACGACGTCATGCACAACAGTAAACGCGCATTGACATGCGCGCGCATACACGAAACCCCATTACTTTACGTTAGAAAATGGCTGGTGTATCAATTAACTGTGTGCTCTGCATGCTGAAGATCTGCATTTTCTAAAGAAGTTAGAAAATATGTAATGCTGTCTTTGCATTGTGTTAAGCACTCTATACATTGAAACATAAACACAAAGCCCAGTAGGGTACACAGCTCTTAACAAACTCAAACGTATGGGGCAAGAACAAGGATGGGTGCTAAGTGCCAACAGGTGGTTTATTGTGCATTGACATATATATATATAAGGAGGGTAAGGAAAGGAAGGGAAGGGAAACGGGGAAGGAAGACGGCTTATGCACAAGGGTGTGAAGATGACATTATACCAGGCTTACGACGTTATGCCTATTGTCTGAGATATCAGAATTCCTGGTCAATTAGGGGGAGTAAAGGGTCACTCATACATTCTGCGCCTTTGTACATAATCCTGTACGTTTCAAATATCTCTCGTACCGTATTGTCCTTGTATCTGCATGACACTGTGATAAGTTCAGCTTTACTCACCTAAGCAAGTGTGTGCCTTAATAGGTTGACTGGAAAATTGACACCAATGAAGCAAAGCCAAGTAAGGCAATCAAAACTGTATGTCTCGTGTGGCAATTCTGTACGACTACATGAATGCTACCCTTGTGTGTCATCAGTTTCTATTTCAACATTTAGTAAAAGTTTGTGAGCAGTTGTTCTGAGTACCAGATCACCAGCATAATTAAATTAATGTCACTGCCAACCTTATTGGCCAAAATAACATCATGTTATGTTGAAATGGTTATTTGCAATTCAGATGTGAGATAAAATGGCTAACAATGTAAATGTGAGTGTATGCCTGTGGCCTTGTTGCATATTGCCGCACAACGCACTTAAAAGCGTGTGGTTTGGGCATGTATATCACACCCTAATGCAGAAAAATCAGCCTTTTGCAAATAATACGCATCTGGCTATTGTCCTCACAACAGCCAAGAACTTGCTAATGCCTCTTTTTGTCTCGATAATTAATCGATCAAACTGAACTAGAATGGGTCTGGTCTTAATATTTCACATTCTTGTTGGGTTTGGGTGGGCCAGCATATGACACTCTCAGGCTTGAGCTAGGGCTGGGCCTGACAGCCCATACAGTGCTTTATCCTGGAATAAACTGCAAGGTTGCCAGGAATATTGCAACATTTTTGTTTTAGTTGTTAGTGCTCGTGTATTTCAAGTGATTATTCATGTTTGTAACTTGTGATGTGATTGTTATTTCACATTATCTGGGCATGGTGAAACTGAGGAAAATGTAGATAAGGACATAAAAAAACACACAAATGGTACTGGCATTTAACAATGTTTATTGGTGATTAAAAAGCAACGTGAATGCTTCGGAAGGAAAAAAAACAAGGAAAAGGAAAAAGAAGTTAATGCATTTGAGGAGTCAAAGGTGTAAAAGTTGTTATATGGCAGTCAAAGGGGTCACGTGGCACATTTGATATGTTTTCTTTCTGCAGTGTGTGTATGTGTGAGACGGTGTGTTTTCTGTTTTTCAGTCTTCTGCATTATGCTTAGTTTTGTCTTGATTTGATTTACTAACTGGCCCGAGTTTCCATCCATCCTGTTTAAGTGAATACCGTATGCTTAATGATGGTTCCAAACTGGTAGTTACTTTCACATTGTCAAGAAGCAGTGTTTTGTATCACTATCCCGTTGTGCTGTCGAGTCAAGTTTCTCATTCCTCTTGAATGTCATGCAACACGATGTGTTAATCTTATGCTGTTGCAGGTAAAAAATATTGTGAATGCTGAAGAAGACAAATACCTTCATCAGATGAGCAAGGCAGAGGCTACATTGAAGAAAGTGAAGACACCTAATGTTTTGCCTGGTATTTTCATGATTTGTTGCTCACATTGTAACAGTGGTAATAGGTATATAGCTTTATTACATGGGCACTTTTGTAACGTGTGTCCAAGTTGAAGCTTGTGTTGCACATGGCTTTTCTGCCGTTTCCCTCCTTGTTTGCTCAGGCCGTACTGCATGGGAGCTTTACGTTCAACATGGCCTTCAGAAGGACCTGATAACTGATCTGGCTGCAAAAAGAGGCCTGTCTATCGACTGGGAACAGTTTGAACAGCTATTCAGGGAATTCCAGGTATGCACGAGTGTAGTATTTTATATTGCCCATTTCACTTATGAGATGACTTTTTGTTTCTCCCTTGCGAATTTCCTTTTCTGCCTCTGTGCTGCTCTTTGCAAGTAAAAATGGGTCTTTTCAGTGTATGATGAGCCCGTAAGATTATAGTTGAAGGTTAGATGCACTGGACATTCATCTAATGCTGCTGCACTTACTGTCATGTCTGGAAACATTGTGTGCTCTGTATAGGTACACGTTAATGATCTAAGGTGGTCATAATAAATTCAGAGTCCATTACTGTGTATGTGATAATTATATTGTGGTTTTTATGCATAAAATTCAATAAACTTATTTTAAGCACCTTATGCTGTTTGACTTATTTGTGCATGCACATCAGCTCTAGCCAGCTTTTTTTTTCATGTTTGCTTGTGTTTCTTTCTAAATCAAAGTATTACAAGGCTTGGTTTACATAAGTATTTGTATAGCCATTGACTATTTGCACTAAAACTAATAAGAGAAATTAAGTGCTGAGTTTCACAATGACTAACATGATTGGTTAAATGTGTATTTTCTTTTCACTGTGTTGAAAATTGGGGTCTCTTTTGTTTTTGGCATGAAATAGCTGGTTCTTAATGTGACCTAATGGGCTTAATGTGGCTGCTGGTGTAAAGACACTTATTTTAAGCACAGGCAACTTTGTTACAGGCATGATAAAGAAAAAAAATATTTTACTTTTATGAACAAATTACCCTTTGATGTTGAAAACGCTGCTTTTGCTGTGCTAAGATGATTTGTCAGCCAGAATAGGTGCAAGAATGAAAGACCAATAGTGACAGTGCTTTGAAGTTTTCACACTAGTTTGTTATGACGTCATAGGTTTTGACAGTCTGCTATGGCCTACATACGTAAGTCTTTGTTGGAGAAAATAAATTACAATGTGTTCTAGGGTACCCAGGGACATATAGGGAAATTTTGGGAGCTTTCATTGTGCTTACATGGCTGAAATGTGAAAATATACTTCAAAATTCAGACGTCATGCCAGTGTACTAGTGTTGGGGTTTTGGCATGTAAGTCAAGACTTAATTTACATTTAGTGATCTAAAAATTAACCTATGATTGCAAAATTAATGGTACTAGAGTTCGTAAGGAACAATATATGGATCTAAATTAGTCATGAAGAGTACTGACACAAAAGTTTTACATCTTGTTTTCTTTCGGTTGCAATAGATAGCTAATGACCGGCTTATTACCACTGAAAACCTGTCTGCTTGGGAGCTGCTGTGATCCCCTCTGGGATGTTGCAAATATGCATGAGTCTCCAAAAATGCACTGTTTGACAAGAATGTCAGCCTTTGTATCCCTGTGCAAATCTGCGCCCTCTTTCCCTGGGGTCTTCTAAGAGAGAGTGCTCATGGCAGCCAACACAAACTTGTGATGCAGATGGTGGTTGATTGTTCACATGAAGACCAAAGGCGCGTTTCATGTGCAGCGGTGTGACATGCACTTTAATATGGATTTTAAGTTTCTTCTCTAGGCTTTATCATTTATTGATGTTTCGTAGATGATGCGTGTGTGTCCACACAAATCTATCTCACAGGTTATCTTGTCTTTAAAATTTTGTGTCAGTACTTCTTTAATATCTCGCTTTAGTGTCCTGTAATGGTTAAATTTTTCCATTTCTTGGGGTGCAGCCAAATGTTTATCAGTGCTCCTGCAATCTTTATCATTTGAAAGTTTTTGTCAGGTTATTGAATTCATCTTCTTTTGTGTCTCAAGGTCTCTGGCACCATATTAGTCTTTGGGTTATCAGTCAGTTTTTACTGTCTAATAAGGGGGATTATACTGGAAAAAATAGGTGCGCTACAAAAGAAACTTTCAGTTTATTGTGAAGAAGTAAACTTGGTGTGAAATAGAGGAAGATTAAGGCAAAATTAGCTTGCCTCTGTTGGTGTAATTAAGATGAAAGTATTCAGTTCTTTCTTAATACAGACATAATAGCTGAGGAAATGAACTTTATTGGCCTTTACATTTTTAAGTTTCTGATAGGTTACCTAATTCAGTTCCTTCCTAATGTTGCATACATGGGCGTATATTTTTATGGTATATAGCTAGTGACCAAATTTTGTGGTTGTTGGTGTGTTCTAGGAAAAGTCTTCATCGGGCCACATAAATGAAGAAGTTAATTTATTCCATAATCTCCCTGATCATGTTGAGCACCTTCGAAATATGGGTGTTGCTCTTACCAGCACTGAAAGGATTTACTTTTACACATCAAGACATGGCGTCTATGGTAAGCGTCAACATGTTTATGTTGGTCTTGATAGTATGTCATCATCATCATCATCAGCCTGACTATGTCTACTGCAGGACAACAAAGGCCTCTCCCATGTTCCACCAGTCAACTCTATCCTGTGCTTGCTGCTGCCAATTTATACCCGCAAACTTCTTAATCTCATCTGCCCACCTAACCTTCTGTCTCCCCCTAACCTGCTTGCCTTCTCTAGGAATCCAGTTAGTTACCTTTAATGACCAGCGGTTATCCTGTCTACGTGCTACATGCCCGGCCCATGTCCATTTCCTCTTCTTGATTTCAACTATGATATCATTAACCCCCGTTCGTTCCCTAATCCACTCTGCTCTCTTCTTGTCTCTTAAGGTTACACCTACCATTTTTCTTTCCATCGCTCGCTGCGTCGTCCTCAATTTAAGCTGAACCCTCTTTGTAAGTCTCCAGGTTTCTGCTCCGTAGCTAAGTACCGGCAAGATACAGCTGTTATATGCCTTCCTCTTGAGGGATAGTGGCAATCTACTGGTCATCATTCGAGAGTGCTTGCCAAATGTGCTCCACCCCGTTCTTATTCTTCTAGTTACTTCAATCTCGTGGTTCAGCTCCGCGGTTATTACCTGCCCTAAGTAGGAATACTCTTTTACAACTTCAAGTGCACTATTACTTATCTCGAAGCGCTGCTCTTTCCGAGGTTGTTGTACATTACTTTCATTTTCTGCTGATTAATTTTAAGACCCACCTTTCTGCTCTTCTTGTCTAACTCCATAATCATGAGTTGCAATTGATCGCCTAAGTTACTCAGCAACGCTATGTCATCAGCGAAGCGAAGGTTACTAAGGTACTCTCCATTAACTCTTATCCCTAACTGTTCCCATTCTAGGCTTCTGAAAACCTCCTGTAAGCACGCGGTAAATAGCATTGGGGAGATTGCGTCCCCCTTCCTTACACCCTTCTTGATTGGTATTCTGTTGCTTTCTTTATGAAGCACTATGGTAGCAGTTGATCCCCTGTAGATTTCTTCCAGGACGTTTATATATACTTCATCGACGCCTTGATTCCCAAGTGTCTGCATGACGGCTGATATTTTTACAGATTCAAACGCCTTCTGGTAATCTATGAAGGTTATGTATAGTGGTTGGTTATATTCTGAGCATTTCTCTATTACCTTATTGATAGTATGAATGTGGTCGATTGTTGAGTAGCCTGTTCAAAATCTGCTTGTTCCTTTGGTTGATTGAATTCTAATGTTGTCTTAATTCTGTTAGCAGTTAGCTTTATAAATAGCTTGTATACTATGGAGAGCAAGCTGATCGGCCTGTAATTATTCTAGTCCTTCTCATCTCATTTCTTATGTGTTAGGATGATGCTAGCATTCTTCCAAAATTCTGGTACTCTTCCTGTCAGGAAACACCTCGTAAACAGGGTCGCTAGTTTTTCTAATGAAAGTAGCGATAACGTAGTGATGATAGTATGCACTAAAGCTTTAAAAAAATCACAGCATATCCACGAAGTGAATGATGGCAAGTGGGCGAAGCTCCAGGGAATCATTAGCCCCCGTACATCTTTTCTTTCTTTCATAACGAAGTGCACTTCGTGACCATGAGAGAGAGAGCCAAGAGCAAGCGCGTTTTATAGCTCTTGGGGTGCCGCAGCGAAAGAAACAGTGTGCCACGAGTGCACCCGCGACCATTGTTCTCCTCTTCTACCTTTGATCGGCACGATCGTGGTCAGTGCTCCCAGCGCGTGCAAGCCAGGACAATGCACATATTATATCACGCCAACGAAGAGACAAGGCTCGATCCTAAGGAGCTCTGCCTTAAAAAAAAAAAAACATTTTAAACGCTTTGCCATTCATTGTTGGGCTGCTACCAACAACGTAACACAACAGTGGCTCTTGATCGGGCACTGATTGACAAGTTGTTTTGTGGTTGAATTTAATTTTTTATTGCATTATGTATCATCTCTAAATAAGAAAGTACTAAATTTCTTTTATTGAATTTTTGTTTTAAATTTCACACTGCAAGGAACAGAAGGTGGGTAAAGGTTTCGGACCGTAAAGGATGAAAACTTAACTTAAGATTAAATAATAGTTCTATAAAGTTTCTCGTTTTTGTGGCATTTGAACCTGAATTTTGTAAGTTATGTTTGTATCATGAAATAGTAGAAACTTCAGCCCAAGTCTGTTCAGTTATTAGAACAAATATGACTTGGGTTGTTAAGCTTGGACAACGTGAATGAAATTTGCGCAGGCAGACTTAGTGTGTAGACCACTGTTGCATTATTCAACAGTACTATTTGCATGAGGCCTTAGTTGTTTGTTGCATTTTCACGAGCCTAACTCACTGAGGTTGCGAGCAGCACCACAAGTCTATATGTGGTTATTGGGGCATCAACTACTATATTTACGCGCATAATTTGCGCCTTCACATAATTTGTGCACCCCTATTTTGCCAGCTTTTGGAAAAAAACATTATTTACTAGCATATTTCGCGCTCCTCGACCCACCCAAGCCAGCTTGCCGGTGCGCACATTTTTGGACTTTTCGATGCTTCAGTCAGGTGCGCGTCTCGCCAAGCAGACGAGCACAGTCAAACAGACTGCCAGTGCAAAATTCCTGCTTCTGAGAACTTCCCTGAACTAGGGTCCCTAGAATACTGCACCTGAACACAAACCTATTGACGGGCCGCCGGGACTGCTCGAGCGTTTGCCTTCTCCTATCTCCCAATCTCTACCACCGCGATAATGGCAAGAATGCACGCTCACGTCACGGCACTGACGACTTTCTGCATCGGAAGCGTGCGAGGCCCTGTTGCGCCAACTGTTCCCCTTGTTCTCTGCAACCGCGCTGCAATGCACGCTTCGTAAATTTTGGAAGTTTAAGTTTTGCCATCTGGCCTACGTGTTTTGATGGTTCCCTTGCAATGTGCTGCAGTAATTATATATACAGCAAAATTAAAGCTCGCTGTTGGGAATTTCACCAAAGAAAACGTGAAGCGTGCCACCACAAAATAATTCAAGGAGATGTACTTCAACATGACGATCGGTGCGATCGGTACGCTAGAAAGTACGGTGCTTGCTGTTGCAAGTTTCCTGCCATTGAATGAGGCCCTTTCAGTTATATGCGGATGCTTCATTTTTCCGGCAATTCCGTGTCGTAAGGCCTAGTTTCTCCCAGCATTGTTAAAAGAGCTTCAAGAAAATAAAATGATTCTTAAATGTGTGGGTTTTAACGTCACAAAACCACCATAACATTATAAGAGACGCTGTAGTGGAGGGTTCTGTAAATTTCGACCACCTGGGGTTCTTTAACGTGCACCCAAATCTGAGCATATGGGTGGGTCTCAGCATTTTTGCCTCCATTGAAAATGCAGCCGCCGCAGCCAGGATTCGATCCCGCGACCTGCGGGTCAGCAGCCAAGCACCTTAGCCACTAGACCACAACGGCGGGCTACAATGATTCCCAATCAGACTTCACGATTATTGATTCCTGCTAGACCGTGCGTGACAGGATCTGACTGGGTAAAGTATGTGCTAATTCTTTCAACATTAACAAGTACACTTCGTTTGTGCTTTGATTTATTTCTTCTTTTTTTATAAATGTATATGCTACGCACGTTAAGACTGTGGCACATTATTTCGTATGCTCTGGCAAAACCCCCACGTAATTTGCGCACCCCCTTCTCGGGGCCCCAAAATCGGGAAAAAAAAGGGCGCAATTTATGCGAGTAAATACAGTATCTCTTCATTACTCAGAGACAGGCATTTGAAGGGCTGTATACGTTTTCGGCTTACTATTGTATGCTCTTTTTTGCCAATTAATTGCACTGCCAGCTCTGTCTTGGCTTGGTTTCTGCCCGCACTTTCATGCAAAATTTGTAGCACCAATTGCAGGGTGCCATTTTGCTCACTATCAACAGTTAGAGGCAGTGATGGAATATGTTGCACATTGCTTTGACCATGGCAGGTGATTCGAATTATGCTAGAGAATTTAGGGCCATGACCTAATAGTTTTCTTCTTGCAGAACAAGCACAGCAACATTTTTTAAAATGGTATTTTAATAGTGCATGTTGACTTAGTCAATTCTTTTGGAATCCCTTAACAGACGTTAGCTCTTTCCTAAACTACCTGTTCATAGTATTTGCTTTGCTGGTATTGCTTAAGTGATAATATGTCAGTTAAATGGCAAATTTTTTCTCCGAGCAGACACGTTTTGTAAGTCTGTGCGATGTTAATGGGCAGCGTTCAAACCTGCATTTGCACATTGTGCACTTAGTGTCTGGCTGATTTTTGTTCGAGTTGCTAAATGTAGGGCATTGTTAATGTTTATGTTAGAAAATCCCTCATGGTACTTTGAAGCATCTCCAATAGAAAATTATTCTACAATTCAAAGACATTTTTGAATTCATTGGATATTGTAGGGTGTGGGTGTTACTGTACCATAATGGAAGGCTGGCAGTCAAGAAAGGTCATTGACTTAAAGTAAATGTGCAACAACAGCAGCTGTTATTTGCTCAGCCTCTTGAATGATCTTTTTTTTTCTATCGTAGTTGAAGATCTTGAATCTTGTGAGCGATTAAAGCTGAGACATAAACATGCTGAACAGTAACATCAAAATGAAGTGTAGTACTTCTTTCACAGTGACAAGAAGGAGCAGGTACAGATAGTCTATGCCAGTTTTTTACAGTACATTGTTCTATGAAATTGGCCGCTTAAATTTTGTCTTAGTGAAACTTTCTCTAACTGGGTTGGTTTTATATTTTGCTGCGCTTGTTTGCATTTTTCTCAGTAAACAAAACTCCAGCTCAAAGTTTGCACAGATCCTACTGTTGTTTGTGGGGAATAACACTTACAAAATACAGTGTAAAAAGTAGTTGTGAAAAGATCAAAAAGCACGCACATAGTGCTCAATTATACCTAGAGGGAGCCTGCAAAACTTTTTTCAGCAATCATAGAATGGCATCACTATTGGAACATGTTACCTCATGAATCTCCTATGGCAATA